AGCCGTGAACCCGAAAACCACTCTACGACGTAGAAGGACCATCATTGGGTTCTCTCACCACCAGACGCAGGATCAAGGAGAGATCAAGAGATCTGCAGCTTCTGAGTCAACGCCCAAGAAGTCCACCCCAGGTTTCCATTTTCAAATCCTATTTATTATTTCAGTAACTTTAACAAAGAGTTAACCCTTAGATTTTGGCTGCAGAATTAAAGCATGCATTGGCCTCAACTCTTTTTTTTGATTGGCCTGTTTCAATTTTTTTTTCTTTTTTCATTGTAGTGTGTACTTCAGATATGGCCAAATGTTTTTAGATTTTGCTGGTTGCCTTGGGGTAGTCTACAATACATAGAGCCTACAGTACATTCAGACAGTATTCAGACTCCCTTCACTTTTTTCAGTTCTGTTAGGTTGCAGCCTGATACTACAGTTGTTTAAATTCATTTTTTGTTCTCATTAGTCTACACTCAATACCCCATAATGACAAAGCGAAAACAGAATTTAAGACATGTCTGTGAATTTATTTAAAATAAAAAACTGAAATATCACATTGGCATAAGTATTCAGAGCCTTTGCAACAATACTTGAAATTAAGCTCAGTTTTTTTGCAAACTCCAAGCGGGCTTTCATATGTTTTGCACTGAGGACAGTCTTTCGTCTACCCACCAGGGGCGGACTGACCATTTGGAAACTCGGGCACTGCCCGAGGGCCTGGGGTCAGTAGGGGGCCCCATGAGATGCCCCTGGTACCTTTTTCATAGGCTTTTTTGAGTTTGGGCAAGGACACAGGGGCCCCAAGATCCCCTATTGCCCAGGGGCCCCATGAGTTGTCAGTCCGCCCCTGCTACCCACTCTGCCATAAAGCCCAGAGGGCTACAGAGATGGTTGTCCTTCTGGAACTTTGTGCCATCTCCACACAGGATCTCTGGAGCTCAGTCAGAGTAGCCATCAGGTTCTTGGTCACCTCTCTTACTAAGGCCCTTCTCCCCTGATTGCTCAGTTTGTTCTGTGAGGAACACTGTAGCCTCCATAATTCTCAAATGGAAGAAGTTTGGCACAACCAGGACTCTTCCCCCACTGACATCAACAATGGGGCACTATTCCTTTCACTGACACTAACGATAGGGCGCTATTCTTCCCATTGAAATCAATCAATGATGTGCCATTATTCCTCCCTCTGACACCATTGATGGAGCACTATTCCACCCACTGACACCAATAATGGAGTGACACTGCCAACAAACTAAAACTCCCAACAAAACCTGTCATCTGTAAAGACAATAGTGGATACTTATCTGCATTTGGCAGCATGGGTGGTAGCAGAGCTGTGAGTTCCTAAAGTCTTCTAAAGGAACTGACACTTTCAGGAGTGTCCATCTCCTGGTCCCTTGTAGGCCTTCATGATCATCATGTATTTACCAGGTTAGTGCTGAGTTGGTGATCATATTAATTTGTTTATTAACAAAGCCATATGAGCACCAAATAAGCAAGTCTTCAGTGACAACTGCTACTGTATTTCATTATATGTGCACTCGATGGTTCAGGCAGTTTACTGACAAATCCATAACAAGTCAGAAATGCATATCTTACCCTTATAGCACTACACAAGCATTTGTAGCAATTATTTCAGTATAAAATTGTCCAAATTTTTTTTTATGCAGGTAATGTCAATGGTGTAACAAGCAGCGAACCACCTCCAGCACCCCCAGATTCTCCTCCTGCTAAATCGGAATCCCATGGGAGGCATCCTGGAGGGAGAGCGGCTACACCTCACCCTCAACAGCTGCCATTAAGAAAGACTTTCAGTGATCTTGGTCACATATTACAGCCATCAAATAATATGGACAGCACGAGTATGATATATTCGAATCCCCCATGCAATGGGGCTAAGGACTGTGCTACATCGAACTGGCAGGGAAACTCGTTCAACTATATGACTTCGTCAAGCCCAGTAAAAAGTCAGCAAGCATCCATTGCAGAGCCCACAAAAAGTTCAACTATGACTATGGCATCTCCTGGGGTTTGTAAAGGCTCAGGTTCCTTTAAGATAAAAAAAGAAAACTTAACAAGGGGTAATGGTGGAAGCATGTGCTCAAGTGCAACTCTTCCAGGACATGGTATGGATCCACCAAAATCAGAGAAGTACAAGGTTGTCTCTTATCCTAGTCAACCAGGAGCAAGCAATTTGAACAATTCATCCACCTTGCCATCAACGCGCAGCGAGTGCACATTCCGAGAAAGGTCACTGTCTATGCCTACAGATACCGGCTCCCTCTCATCAGTGGACATAACCTATGCAGAGAACAGGAGAGGAAGTGGGGACTATGCTCTAAACTATCCCAGTGGGAGCTCCGAGGAGAGCACAAGTACAGAGAATGTATCTGTGGTGATTGACCAAGACAATCAAGAACGTAGAAGATCTCGAAGCATCTCCTTGAGAAAGCCGAAGAAAAAGCCTTCACCTCCGGCACGCAGTGTTTCCCTCATAAAAGATGCATCCACACAAAGGCTGCACCCAGTGTCTACTATGCCAAAGGATCAAAGACCTAAAAGCCTCTGCATTGCATTTGATAGTCAGGGACACAGTTATATTCCAACATCAATGCAGGGCAATGCTACGATGCCATCATCGAAAAGTATGCTCTTTACTCAAAATTGGAATTCCAGTGATTGCAAGTCTAATGACCTGCATAGGACATTGATGGGCTCTAGCTCTGCGAAAAGTGCAACTGTTATAGAATCCAGGAAGATACAGGGAAGTTCTGAGTCTCTGACCTCGCTTTTCAATTCAAGAGCCACAACGCCATCCCAAGCTTTCCCAGAAGCAGACTTAAAGGTTTCATCACCTGGTAAACCTCCTGGTCTGATGTCTCCATCTAGTGGCTACTCAAGCCAGTCAGAGACCCCAACTGCGATTCCAACATCATTAATTCTAGGGCACTCTCCTTACCAAAGTCATAAGGTAAGGCCTATGGTCCCTGAAAGGAAATCATCACTTCCAGCTGTTTCACCTATTGATAGAAGTCCCAGTGTCCGTCAGTCATTTGACTTACCACTCACTCCACCAACGCATCTGGATTTAACCAGTGCAAGAAAGTCTTCAAAGTCTTCAACTTTTAGCACAAAAAACCAGAACCAGAAGACAAGTCCAGTTCAGCCAATAATGCCAATGGTCACTCAGTCAGACCTACGTAACATCCGTCTCAGGTCAATAAGCAAATCTGAAACTGAAGACAACTTGGATATTTTAGACCACCTAGATGAACTGACCGATGAAGCTTTTCCCTTGCCAGAGAAAAAGACAAAGCCTCCAGTGGCAGAAAAACCCCCCATGTCTAGAAGGCCCAACAGCCTGTCTTATAGAACTTCTGCAGTCACACCAGAATCTCCTGTGATGTCACCCTCTTCTCCTGGAAAATACATTCGAGACCAAGCATCCCCTCAAGATGCATACATGGTGATTGGAACACTCCGGCACAAGAAGAGTTATGACTATGAAATTCGTATGGAGACTCCTCCATCCTTAGATCCCTCGCCACCACCCGAAGTTTATTTCCAAACGAACCAGCCAAGCACTAGAAGCTTCTCACAGAGCAGTATTGACGAAGATGACTATTACAAGGGAAGACAATTCCCAGACAGAATAACTCTACAGAACTTTAATTATATAGATAAAAAGAAAGTAAAGGTTCCACCACCGATTCCAAAAAAAACCCAACGTATTACACTTTCCAGTTGCCAGTCCACCACCAAGCCAAGCAACATTGTCTTCGTTGGAACAAAGGCTATCCCCTGTTGTATCACCAGATTCTGGAGCCAGCGCATATCCTGATATCATTGAGTTCCAGAAATATGCTGCAGAAGGAACCATTCACGGTGTACACCCTGACCTTGTATCGATGGATGCGTATTCAGGTAACTATCACTAAGAGCAAAAGGAACATGCTATAAAATGTAAGAGTCAAATATAACCAAGACAGTGGGCTTTTGGTTGGTGTTGTATGGTGGTGATGTTAATACAAATACATTTCATGCACTGAAATGGGAATGCCTAATGTTAGATTTAATTCTCTATACTGAGCAACCATCACCAAAGGGTATGGAAAAGATTAAGTCACCTCTCAGCGGTACAAAAGGACATTTCTGTAAATCGTGAAAATTTTGCTGTTATCAGCAAAATGTTGCCACCAAAAAAATAGATTTGAAGATTATGTTAAGAGAAGTATACCCAGCGGTTGATTTACTAAACAAGTAAAAGCTGCTCACCTAGTTAAGTGAATGCCCAGTTTACAAAGTGAATGTTGGAAACTAAGGTGATCCTGAATTTACTTGAAATACCCAGCTGTATGCAAGGGAACTAGATTTTTGCCTAGCACATGAATGGGTATATAGCTTCAGCTTATTTACTAATATTCACTATGCAATGCTCCTTTAGTAAATCAACTCCATTGAAAATTAAACAGCTTCTAGAACAGAGGTTCTCTGTGTACTTGATTTCTACCTCCCCCCTATGAATGCTAAATTCTGTTCTTATCTGTTCAAGAGAAAAGTCCCCATTGCAACTAGTTTTTTTGGATTTGTGAATTATACTAATTACTGTCTACTTTTTAGAATGATGGCGTGAATAATCTTTACTTTTCTCATGTATAATATACACTGTATGACAGAAAGTTGTGACTATCACAGCTATATGAGCTTGTTGGACATCCTTTTCCGAAGCTGTGGACATTAATTTGAAGTTGCCACCCCTCCTGTGTGGGTATAACCTCCTCCATTCTTCTGGAAAGGCTTTCCAGAAGATTTTGGAGGGTGTCTGTGGGAATTCGTCAGTTTGTGAGGTCAGCTATTTATGCTGGATGAGAAGACCTGGCTCACAATCAGTGTCCAATTCATCCCAAAGGTGCTCAGTGGGGTTGAGGTCAAGTACTGTTGATGGATGAGAAGACCTGATCTCAAAGTTGTTCAGTAGGGTCGAAGCCAGGCACTGATGTTGGATGGGAATACCTGATCCCAAAAGTGTTCAGTAGGGTTGAGGTCAGGTATTGCATTGTTGAATGAGAAGATCTGATCCCAAAGCTGATCAGTAGGGTTGAGTCCAGGTACTGTTGTTGGATGAGAAGATCTGATCTCAAAGCTGTTCAGTAGGGTTCAGGTCAGGTACTGTTGTTGGTTGAGAAGATATGATCCCAAAGTTGTTCAGTAGGTTTGAGGTCACGTACTGTTGTTGGATGAGAAGATCTAATCCCAAAGGTGCTCACTAGGGTTGAGACCAGGTGCTGATGTTGGATGAGAAGATCTGATCTCAAAGCTGTAAAGTAGGGATCAGGTCAGGTACTATTGTTGGATAAGATGACCTGATGCCAAAGTTGTTCAGTAGGGTTGAGGTCAGGTACTGTTGTTGGATGAGAAGATCTGATCTTAAAGCTGTTCAGTAGGGTTCAGGTCAGGTACTGTTGTTGGTTGAGAAGACATGATCCTAAAGTTGTTCAGTAGGTTTGAAGTCACGTACTGATGAGAAGATCTAATCCCAAAGGTGCTCAGTAGGGTTAAGACCAGGTGCTGATGTTGGATGAGAAGATCTGATCTGAACTCAAAGGTGTAAAGTAGAGATCAGGTCAGGTACTGATGTTGGATGAGAAGATCTGGTTCCCTATTTGGCTATCCATTTCATCCCAAAGCTGTTTAGCAGGATTGAGGCCAGGAACTGATATTGAACAAGAAGACCTAATCCCACATATATTCAGTAGGTTTGAGGTCAGGTACTGTTGTTGGATGAGAAGACCTGTCTCACAATTGGTGATCCAATTCATTCCAAAGCTGTTCAATAGAGCTGAAGTCAGGTACTGTTATCAGATAAAATGATCTGGCTCCATATTGGTGATCCAATTAATCCCAAAGCTGTACAGTAGGGTTGAGGTCAGGTACTGACGTTTAATGACCAGATCTCAAAGATGTTCAGAAGAGTTGAGGTCAGGGCTCTGTGTAGGACACTAAAGTTCCTCCACAGCAAACTGATCAAACCATGTCTTTATGGAGCTGGGTTTGTACACAGGAGCTCAGCTATTTTAGAACAGAAAAGGTTACATAGTCAGGCTAAAAAAAGACAAAAGTCCATCCAGTTCAACCATTAAAATGAATAGTACACAGCTCCATCTCCCTTCACCAAACTCTCTTCTCCAAGGTCCTTCACCAAACTGTTGTCACAAGGTTGGAAGATAAGATATATATGAAATAACTTTGTATGCTGTAGCCATAACAAAACCTTTCACTAGAAACACCTTAACTCCAATCTGGCCAACTAATGTGACTATTTAATCAGTTCAATGGAAATTCCTTCTTTATAGCCCCTGGAATTTGTAGAAAAGTCTTCTTTTGTAATATTTTTGTGTATTTGATCTATAGGACCATACGCAGACCCACCAGAAGAAAGCAGGCGTGTGTCAAACAAGACAGCTGAGTCCATCACTGAAGACGACGATGAGGTGTTTGTCAGTTCACGAACAACAGAAGATTTATTTACACTCATCCACAGGTACATCAAGACTGTTTATTTCCTGCACTATTATGGCGACTAGATGAAGTTGATGACCTTGGCACATGTTTTATAGGATCATCAGCTCCATCTAGTGGTTATAATATGGTATTTTTCTCAATCCTGTATGACTGAATAACGTTCAACCTGGAAAGGAAATAGCCTAATAACATTTGATTTGCCCAACTTTTGCACAGAAGGAATGTACATGTAGTTTCACAGGATGAATAGACCTGCAATTTTTATTTTCTACATACACCACTAAGAATAAGCCAAGAATCTGAGCACAGGCAGGGTTCACATTGACACACAGCCCTGAGGGTGCCCCAGGTGTTCAGCCATCTGACAGGTAAAAAAGGAAGGATATTAGGGAAAGAAATCAAATGCCGGACTTTTTTTTTTATCTTCCTTACTTTTCACTACCTAGAAAAAAAACCTGCAATTATCAGAAATTCCATTTTCAGGCCCTGCTGTGTTCAGCCCACACACAGCTGCAGCTGAGATCCCTGTGATCCATCAGAAGGAATTGGATATTATGGAGGAGGAATGCTTCCCTCCCAGTGCAGTCCTTCATTGGCTCTGTTCAGTATAATGTTCCGCTCACAACCTTCCAATCTATATATAGTAAACCTATAAACGTGTATATAATATATTTGAATATCTGAATAAGTGAATATATAGCCAATCAACTCACATAAATGAATATATAGCCAGTCAACTCACATGAATGAAATAGTAAAAAATACTAAAAATATAGTGAAATCATATAATATATTGATAAAATAATAATGGAGGAGAAGGGACACCATCTGGAGGAGCCGCTGCTGGGACAGTTTCTTTTGGAGAAAAAATAGAGAAGATCAGAAGGATCATACTAAGTACCCGCTCATGCATTTGGTTACATGGAAATAAGAAGACAGCAGAGGGGCATCCAGTGAGAGGATATTGGTCTACAACACAGGTCGCATTATAATTGTTATCTCATCTACAACAGTTCCTAAACAAGTAGGTTCCAAGGAGGTGAACCGCAAGCTTTAATAGCCTAATTGCAGGCTATTCATGAGGTGAGCGCACATCTTCACTTGAGGGAGGAGGCACAAGCAGTCACCTATTTAAAGTTATAGAAGATTTTTTTTCAGCACAAAGTCACCTATATATTTCTCTGTGGGACATTATTATTTTATCAATATATTATATGATTTCACTATATTTTTAGTATTTTTTTTTACTATTTCATTCATGTGAGTTGACTGGCTATATATTCATTTATGTGAGTTGATTGGCTATATATTCACTTATTCAGATATTCAAATATATTATATACACGTTTATAGGTTTACTATATATAGATTGGAAGGTTGTGAGCGCAATATTATATTTTTAATTACACGTTTTTTCACATTGGTTGTTATGTGCTAATAAGTTTGCGATCCAACAAAAGGAATTCATTACTTGACTCGCAAGGTTTTTTTCCATATAATTCAGTATAATGTTCCTTTAGGCCTCTTAAAACTGCAATTCTTCTTAAAGTTGGACTACCATCAGATATACAGTATGTTTTTTCATGTTAAATCCAGATGAAGAACGGTACCATCTTTGTTCAGGCATCATCCAGGGTCACCATCTATTTCCTGGACTGAGATGCCGGATCAGATATGATACAATCATGTAAATGATGGTGCCTGTTCCGTTCCTAATATTTAAGTATCTGCCGTAAAGTGACCAGATCTGGGTCAAATCTTTAAAGGGTATGAAAAAGATTTTTTTTTTCAGTTTTGGATATAGCAGGGAAGGTTTAGACCCTTCTATAAATCTGCTGGAAAGATTCACCCTCTACTTGTCCTGGACACCACTTTCAATGAAACAGAAAGTCAGGGGAAATCCAAAAATATCGAGGTGTCACTATAGAGGAAGAGGTAAGAGAAAATTCCCCAATGACATCACATGTTTCTGTTAAAAAAAGGCAGTTCCATTTACCTTGGAGAGATTTCCTCTTATTTCCTGTTGTATTTCCAGGATAGAAAGTAAAGGGAAATTTCCCTCAACAAAAACAACCTTGTAGGGGGTTTAACCTTTCCCCATCTTATCTAAAACTGAAAAAAAAAGTTTAGGCATTACATACATTTTGGTTCTATTTATTAAAAAATATTGCCGTGCCTCATCATCTGCACAGCCATCGCAAATAATCTTCGTAATATACCTAATATGTGTATTTCTTATGATCATCAGCTCTATCTACTGGCCACAATGCAGTAGTTTCCTGAAATTCTGCCGTGAGGAAAATACCACATTATGGCCACAAGATGAAGCAGACGATCATCGAAAATATGCATATTAGACTCATAATGTGGATTACTTGTGACAGCTCTGCAAATGCTGAGGTATGCGCACAGCAAATATTTCTTAAATAGACCCCTAATAACTTTACAAACTTATTCCTTCATCTTTAAGTGCATGTGTTGAAGGTATTTGGTCTGATGGCAAGGGCTTGAGATGTTTCTAAGATAATTCAGTACTAATCGACAGATACATTTGACTTGAAGTTTACCATCTTCTGACCTACACTTCACCTGCAGTTGAGCTCCTTCTGACCTCCATTCAACCAACAGTTGACCTCCTTTTGACCAGAAGTTGACCTCCTTTAGACCTCCATTTGACCTACAGTTGACCTCCTTTAGACCTGCATTTGACTTCCTTTTGCACTTCATTTGACCTACAGTTGACCTGCATTTGATTAGTTTCAAGTGGGCTTTGCATTCCTATAGACTTGTACTGGAATGCATAACCTGCCAGACACCGACAAAAGCCAGATGACCATCTTCTGACCTGCAGTCAAGCTCCTTCTTACCTCCAATTGAGCTACAGTTAACCCCTTTTGACCTGCAGTTGACCTCCTTTAGACCTCCATTTGACCTACAGTCGACCCCCTTCTAACCTAAAGTTGACCTCCTTTGACTTCCTTTTGACTTCCATTTTACCTAGAGTTGACCATCTTCTGACCTGCATTTGACCTGTTTCAAGTGGGTTTTGCAGTCATATAGATTTGTATGGCAATGCATAACCCAACACTACCAACAAAATTCCATTGATACAAGCCCTAATATTGAGGTCTACCTCTGAATTTTGGATGCTACAATACTTTTTTCTTTCTCCATTAGGTCCAAAAGGAAGTTGCTGGGATGGAAAGACTCCGGAGATTCTTTTGGGAGCAGACAAAGCTCAGTGTCGCCCATTAAAATTTCATACTCCACAAATAATGACTTGGGAACCCTGAGCATTAGCCGGACTTCCAGCAAAAACGAGGACTTTAAGGCCCTTCTCCAAAGGAAGGGTAGCAAAAGCAGCATAGGGGCCCGACCTTCGGCCGCAGAACTCCTTAAAACCAACAATCCTTTGGCTCGCAGAGTCATGAATGAGTTTGCTCCAGAAATTGAGAAGAACAACAATACAAAAACCTTGCCTAGGGATTGAATTTTTCGGGGGAAAGCTTGGAGAAGAAGAGAGATGTGTGAAATTTTGTACACTTACGTCTGCCGAGATTATATTTGTAACAGCCATCGTACATGGGAGTATAATTAGTGACCGGATGTGGGCAATGTCCACCAAATTTTCTTTTAAAGGATAATTGAACAATTGTCAAATTGAAGAACTTAATTCAATCATTTCAGCAGAACTTCTCTGGAATACTATACAAGGAATCATTTTGAAATAACCTTGTGCCAAACGTAGACTGAAATGTTAAGTGTAGTAATAATGTGACATCTGCCAGATCTCTCTCCTGGACCATTCATGAATCTCTGCATGTAATCCAGAAAGTGTTTTGCAATCACTATGAGCTTTGCATTTTGTAGTATATATCTCATTTTATATTTATCTTCTCGCAGATACGCGGGAGGGTTTTGAGAAGACAATTCATCCAAAATGTGCTGTTCCATCTGAAAGTTCCATGTGAACGTTCCATCCAAAAAATTCAATCCATGTGAAAATCCCATCTAAAAGTTCAATTTAAAAGTTCCATCTAAAATGTCCATCTAAAAATTCTATCTGAAAGGTCAATCTGAAAGTTCCATCTGAAAGGTCCATCCAAAAGTTCCTTCTAAAAGTTCAATTTTAAAATACCATTGAAAAGTTCCATCTGAAAGTTCCTTCTAAAAGTTCAATTTAAAAGTTCCATCTGAAAGGTCCATCTAAAAGTGTTGATATTCGCATTTTCATACATATGCAGGGACATATTAGAGTTCATGAAACTTAGCATAAGTCTTGGCTTTTCTGAACACAGCACTGGTAGCATTCGCTTGGATTACTGAATATTGAAGATAGTATGCGATGCGTTACAATATGTAATTCCTGAGCACAGAAAAACTAAATACACATATTAAGTACATGTAAGGGAGCTGTTTTACCTGTCATAAGATTTTTAATTTTGTCCATCCAGTTCTGAGAGTTACATAGCTCCTCCACACAGTAAGTCCTTTCTGGCTAGGCAGGAGACCTAGTAAGGTCCTGTCCCTTCTCTAGCCTGTGATGAAAGAGTGAAAGGAGAAGTAACAGACTAATCTCTCTGCCACTCTTCTCTCTCCTCCTATCGGCACTTTAGTATTCCTGTTTGGCTCATTGTGTTGCTTCTCCCTATCCTAGTCAGAGCTCTGCTGTACCAAGGATTGCAAGAGTCAAGTGAAGGTATTTACACTGCTTGCATTTAACAAAATACATTTAATGGTGTGTCAATGAGTACAGAGCTCGATCAAGTTGTGCGTTTTATATCTGCCTGGAGTTCAACTTTAAATGGTTGGGACTCCTCCTTATGGCAAGACAGACATACCACTGATAACTTTTAGTAGTGATGTGGATATCAAAGGAGGATGGAGCAGTCATGGTGGGCCAGTTCTAAACTGATATGTTGGGCTGGAGGCCTTGAATGGAAATTCTTTACCATTCAGGCATCAAAGCAGGACCTGCAGTCCCTGATCAGACCTGAGATCACAGAATCTGGTAGAGGGGAGTGTTCTAGTAGTCTCCCCTTGCAGCTGTGAGATACCATATGGTCACATGCCAAGAGTTGCACAGGATGGTGATGCTGGAAGACATGAATCTGTATAAACCATGAAATGGCCACCTAGGTAAATATGCCCCCAAAGCCAAAGGGTTCCAGTCTAAACTTAAATTAACGAGGCCATAAGCAGTAACCTTCGAAATAATTTCCCACTCTTTATTTGAAGTGGAAAAGACCTTTAAGTCCCGTTACAGCATGGGACACTCTACAGATGTAGTTATTGGTGTTCTTGCATGTCATGTTCCTCCTGTTATCATATTTAAAATGTGTATTGATGGGACCTATCAAAATATCACCAGATGCTAGTTCATATTATGTTCAGTCTGCACTTTTCACTTTGTGGCCTCCCAACACCATGTCATCATGTAAAGTACTTAATATCTGACTGTCTTTACCACATTCTTCAACTTTCAAGGAAATGAAGAGCTTATGCCAATTGTTGATACTGCAGGGATCATGTAAGGATTGTGAATGTGATGTGAACATGCAGGTCCATCACCGCGATTCTTGTGGGCAAATCTTCCATTGAAAATCTATTGAACAGTAATAATTAATATCCACAATCATTTAAAGTCTTTAGTAGGGCTATTTACCAAAATGCTGCACTTATGAAAAGGCCATCACTCATGATATTGTTAGAATATATTAGCATATAATCCTATATATGATGAGTACATTTCCATGGTTTCCACACTATATGACCTTGTAGGACATTCTATTCCAAAACCACAGGAATTGGTATGCAGTTGGCCCTCTTTTGTGTCCATAACATCCTCCACTGGGAACTTTCTGGGAAGGTTCTTCACAACATATTGGAGTGTGTCTACACAAATTTGTGCTCATTTGTGAGGTCAGGTACTAATGCTGGATGAGAAGTTCTGACCCCAAAGTTATTCAATAGGGTTGAGGTCAGGTACTGATGTTGGATGAGAAGACCTGCCACACAATGGGCATTCCAACTCATCCCAAAGGTGTTCGGTTGGGTTGAAGTCAGATATTAATGTGGAGGAGAGGATCTGGTTCACAGTTGGTGTTCCATTTCATCCCAAAGGTGATCAGTAGGCTTAGGTCAGGTACTGAGGTTGGATGAGAAGACCCAATCCCATATGTGTTCAGTCGGGTTGAGGTCAGGTCCTGATGTTGGATGAGAAGACCTAATCCCAAAGGTGTTGAGCAGGGTTGAGTCAGGTATTGATGTTGGATGAGAAGACCTGATCCAAAACTTGTTCAGTAGGTTTGAGGTCAGGTACTACTGTTGGATGAAAAGACATGATCCTAGAGGTGATCAGTAGGGTAGAGGTCAGGTACTGGTGTTGGGTGAAAAGACCTGGTCCCAAAGTTGTTCAGCAGGGCGTTCAATGTGAAAAGAGTTATGTTAGGTAGGGTTGAGGTCAGGGCTGGGTGCACACCACTTGAGTTCCTCCACACCAAACTCAATGGAAACATCGCCATTAATATGGAGTTGGTATCCTATTTGTGATCATAACAGCCTCCACTCTTCTGAGAAGGCTTCCCACAAGGTTTCGAGTTTATCTGTGGGAATGTGTGCCTATTTAGCCTAAAGAGCATTTGTAGGGTCAGGTATTGATGTTGGAAGAGAAGACCTGGCTCCAATTCAACACAAAGCTGATGAGTAGGGTTGAGGTCAAGGCTCTATGTAGGCCACTTGAGTTCCTCCACACCAAACTCATCAAACCATGTCTTTATGGAGCTTGGTTTGTGCACTGGGTTACATTGAGTCACGCTGCAAAAGAAAATGATATTGTACATTTTATGCAAAAAGTAAAATCTGTGTGGAAAAAAGTGAACTTTAAACCTGTACAAGTTCTTGTACTGCTATACTGGCCTTGGGGCAGTCATACGCTGTCTTATTAAAGCAAGTGACGGAAAGTCCCCCATGCCCAGTGCAGTGATTACTGCTCCACTTTCTACATAGTTGAATTATGCCCAGCACCATCCAACCCATTTCTGTGAGCCATTCTGTGAACCCATTTCTCCTTGGTCTTCATCAGGATCACACTGCCTGGGCTCACTATGTACTACTGACTGATGGCCTGCAAAATGTCCTGACACCATATTGTGAACACCACTGAAGCCCATCAACAGCCTAAAGTTGTAGACAACCTAGTAGGAAGACAACACAGCTCCAATGTACATATGGTGCAGTAGCCTGCAATGCATGGTGATACAGTACTGTGCATTGTAGAGGGCTGCATCAGAAAAGAATGCCGATTTTTTTTTTTTTTTTTTTTTTTTGCTCATTCTTGTGCATTGTTAGCCCAATGAAAATGAATAAGCTGCCTTAACGCAATGTATACTACTGTGTGACATAAGGTGCCAGTATTATTGCAATGAATGGAAAAGTGTGAATAGGCCCTTAATCTAGGGGGAAGGAAGGAGAAGGATTTGAGGTGTGGGATTAAATGTGAGATGGGCTTCAAGAATACTTTGCAACAACTGGGCCATGCAGAGGTTTATTAAAAGGTGACAACACACGCACTTTTGATAGACGTACTTATTGCACAGAAGAGCCTTTGATATGTTGTAAAATCTCTGTGATCTAGTGCCAATTGTTCACTTCTCTAATAAGAAAAGAGAAGGAAAAAACTTGCCAAATAAATGCCTTACCCATCCTTTAGCAAAGATGACTATTATGGAAAATGCAAGCAGTGTGAACCTTTTTTTTGGGGAGGGGCAGATATTTATTTGGCTAGTGCTCATAGTGAGACGCCTAACAATCCATTGACAGAGCGATATCATTATTTCATAAGCTATCATTATAAATTTGTTCCCAACCTCAGCTCTTAAGTACCCCCAACAGGTCATGTGTTTAGGATTACCTTCACCTTGCATAGGTACTTTTAATCAATGGCTTGGCATTTATGGCCGCTATTTTATTTAAAGGAAATTCGCAAACCATGGCCTGTTGGACGTACTGAAGGAATGAGGTTGGGAAATACTAGGCTTAGCGAACACGACCCAGGGTCCGAGAACATCAACTCAGTCTTAAGCTTTTGCTACAGTATTGTGCCTAATGAGACAAAAGTTTCCTCAAGAGTATGTGCACAAACAAAAATAGGATTGTTGTCTTATTTGTACTTGGAGTACATTACAGGATTCGGGATAGTATTCTGAAACAGTGGGACATCCCAAAGCAGTCCAACTGAGACATGGGCACAGCAAATAAAAGGATAATAGACCCACAAGAAAAAGCCAACAGGTCATCAGAAGGGCTCATGAGAACCTACAGAGAAGAACTTGCTGAAGAACCTTTTAACCAAAGCTGGAACCAGATGGTGAACCTCAACCAACAGAAGGCCAGGCGGCAGTTTTGCAATTTGAGAAATAGATGCCTGATGCTGAAAAGCCCATGATGTACTAACTGTTCTAGGAGAGTGCGCTGTGACCAGGAAAGGAG